CGCACGAACAGTACCGCCCGAACGAGAACACTGATGATTGTAAAGATAGGGAAGCGGAAGCATCAGCAAAGCCCCTGCAGCTTCCGAAAACTTGGAGCCCGAACACAAACCTCTTCCATCTACCATAGTACCAAGTCTATGGACTTCGTCAACACGCGCAAAACTCTGAGCTTGAAAGCCTAGGGCTTCGGGAAGGCCCACGCAAAGTCACAAGTACCCGGCGGAAACCTTCCAGAAATTTGATTGCCTTTGCGAAGCCTGTAAAGCCGACTTTTCGAGATGTAGAACAAGTAGATCTGCGCATACCTCCGAGGGCCCTGGCTAACCTCCAAACTCTCAGCCCCAATGGTGGAGCTTCTGACTGCAAGTTCTCTTTCCGTCGTTCTTGCTAGAAGCCCAAGGCTCCTCAAGTGAACCAGGCCTCCGTTTGAAAACTCGAAGCCTTCTGCTCCCAACTCCTCGCTCTAAACCCTAAGCTTCGAGTTACAAGAGCTTAGGATTTAAGGTTTAAGGTTTAGATTACAAGCCCTATGCCGCCGTAAACCGTGAGGACAACAAGAACAAGGATTTCAACTGGCGTCCACAACCTTGTTCCGAAATTGGAGGGCGAGTGTTTGCCGCGAGGCTCGAATCGACGCCTTTAACGTTCATGAAAGGGTTTAGAGACTCAAGGTTTGCTTCGGGTTTAGGGCTTTCGGTGTTTCGGGTTTGGGGTCTCTGATTTTTAGGGTTTGGGGTTTCGAGCTAGGGCTTACCTAAACCCTAAACGCATTCTGAGCTCACGGCTCTCAGCATCAGCACCGCATGCGTGCACTTGAGGAGAACCTGGAGGTGTAGCAGTTTGCGAGTTTAGCACATGGGATTGATGAAGGGATGGTCCAAGAGTCTGAACAAATAGACGCCATGACATTGGGCAGTCCAGGCTTGAAAGCGCGCCACGGTTCTGGCTCTGATCCCCAGCACAGCACCCTACCCCTTGGCTTACAGGCTGCACACCCACGATCCTGGAACAAGCCCTCAAGCCCGGCACGTCGGAGTCTCTGAGCACCGGGCCAGTTCCCCAAAGATGATCAGCAAATCTCCAACCTTGGAAGAGGTCATGTGGCAACTTCGACGTGGCAAGGCTTTGAGGGTTTGTACAAGTGCTCTTACGATTCCTTTCTCAGGTTGGAGGTGGGTATATGACGTGATCCCATCATGTTACGTTTGGGGTTTAAGGGTTTGGGATTCAATGATTTAAGGCTTAAGGGTTTCAACGTTTAGGGCTTCGGCGCTCGCACTCGGACAGACCAGGCGAAAGGGTTTTAGGCACACGTTTGTAAGTCCCTTCTTCTAGTCTGAAACTCCCGGTTTGAAGTCTAAGCAGGTTTGCATGAGGCGTTTAAGGGCATTATCAGTGCTTGATGGGGTTTCGGCCGACGATGCTTGGAGTCGCGGGGGGCTGTGTGACTCAAGGGGGATCTTTCATCCGGCCCTTGTGGGACTTTGGTGATGACTTTCCAGATGTCGAAAAGCACTCGGCCCCGCCATCTCCGATTCCACGAGCAAGAGTCATCCTCAGGGACCAGCAAAAGTGAAGTCGCCCTGCAGCACAGGGAACCTCGGTGGTGTCAAAATTCGGGCTACTCCCTTCTTAGCTCGAAGCACCATGCTGAGCCTGAGAAGGAAACAGAAAAAGACACTCTCACAACTCCGACCTCATAGCCCTCGAACAAGGAGCCTCAACCCTCAACCTTTGCCGCTCAGGGGCATCTGACCGCCCAAAGCAGCCACGACATCCAGACCTGAATTAGGAGAGCTTTGGCAAGTCTACCTGAATCGCCCCCTTGGGCTAGGAATGAATAGCGTTCCTGCTAGACCTGCTCTGCAGGAGAGCAAGGGGAGCCGGCTTACCTCCTTCGGAGCTATTTGCAGTGTCCAAAGTCTGGGCCTTCGCGGCCCCAACAAGGCAGCACCGCCTGGTCATGGGGGAGTTTTCGTATCTAGTTTTGGGGGGGTCAGGGTGCTGGAAGGTGTCGGGATTGGGGGCTTGAGATTGTCGAGCTTAGCGTTTAGGATATCCGGGCTTTTGTGGGCTTCAACTGCCTAGTGTTGGATAAGCGGAGACCCGAAGAAACATCCTTATAGCGTGCCATCAGTCAGGTGAATAGCGAGCTGGTCTTTGCGATATTTCGGTGAGATTCACAACATACAGCTCGGGTTTTGCAGTCTTGTGGCTCATGTGGCATTTAGGGTGTTCTAAGCGTTTTGTGACTTGTCCGGGCTGTGCTCAACATGTTGGACCCTAAACCTAGACCGCTTGGTCCGTTCGTACCACGACACCCACAGCCCGCGGCCACGTCTTACTTCACCTGCGACCGGGCCGAGGCGAACGACGCGAAGCGTTTACAAGTGCTGCCAACATGGCCCAGATCAAGGGCAAGCATAACAATTGCTATCAGTATTCGTCTAACCGCACTGTGGCTACACAATTTATGCACTTGAAGAGGCAGTACGAATCCTTTCGCCTCGAGACCGAGATACATCCATCACGGCCAGACCATAAAATACCCAGGCCGACCCAGCCTTCGTCTGGTCTATGAAGCAGACTATTGCCAACAGGCCTTACCACTGCACCCAAAATGGCCAACACAAAAAGCGTTGTTAGAACCAACGACGAACTATGGAAACCTGAAATGCGGACGGACCGTTTTGCTCTCCATCTCTGTCTTTGGCCGTTGCTGGAGCGGCCCGTGCTGAGAAACACCCATCCATCCAATACTGTTTGGTCTAAGGGTCTTGTGCTGCAGCTGCTGGCTGGACGGGTCATCTGCAGCAATTCCGCATAAGGCAGATTGGCGCTAGCTGCCATCCAGAGCTGTGAACCCCGAGCCGAACACCCTGTTACCCGAAAAGACGCGGTCCGAATACTAGAAAACAGGTGAAACCAGGTCTGGACCCGGATTGCCGACCCGTCTTCCAGAGCAACGTATTCGGGCAGGGCATGTACCGCCCCTGTGGATTGCCCACCAAAGCCCATTAGCAGTGCCACTGCCATGAGAGACCCCTCATTAACCTAGTCGCCGCTAAGCTCCCAACCCTCGCTGTTGAAGATTACTGAACAGCTCGCGCCCTGGGCCGATACCTTCGCCGTCGAAGTTCCGCGGTCGACAAGCAGCACATGCACTTATCGTTGCCCACAATTCAATTTGTCGCCATCTACATATCTTTTGCAGGTAGGCGCCCAGAGGCATCAAGATGAAGGAAAACAGAGGTCTGGGCTTCGGATCTGCGCACAAAGGTTCTCGGGGTTTCTCGGGGTTTCGGATGGCTTTCGGAAAGTAGCGATGGTCGGAGTCTTTCGACTTGCGTGGCTGGCTCAGACCCTCAGAGCTGCAGCAGAACTACCTTGGACAAACTCAGACTGTGCAACATGCTAAAATCTAAAACGCAGCGCAGTACAGTTCGACGATCAATCAAGATAAGATCAATCCTTCAAAAAACTAAGAAACTGTAGTGCCAGTGGGCCGACAAGTGCAGCAACACAAGCCTCAAGATTCCTGCCCTCAAACCGTGTAACCGAAACAGAAGAAGCGACTGATTCGGACGAATCCAAAAGCCTGTGTGGCCTCTTGACGAATAAAAAAACCATTTTCTGATGCCTAGTGGGCAAGCTGAACATTCCGTTGTTAGCATGCACTTCCGGAATCCGACAAGTCGCGGCAGATTCGGGTTCAATGGGGTTTGGCGTGGCTTGAATGGTCTGTTCGGCCTTGACTATATGCAACGTTGGTCTGTGTACATGTGTAAGGACTTTGCCGATTAAGTTATATCTACATATGTTGGTACCTTCGTCTCGTCGACCGGATAATGACCTGCCTGGCTACCTACCTACTTGCCTACAAAATACCTGCGTGCCAACCTAGCCACGGGCGGCAGCGAACTCAAGTTTCTACGTCGCTGAAGCGTCAAGAAGTGCTCTGTGTCATCTGGCTCTTGCGACGTGTCCACACGGCCCGGTTTCCCCAACTCCCTGTCGAAGTCCTTTATCCTCCTGACCTTGACAGCCTGAACAGAAGCCTTAATCTGCGGCCCTACCTTGTGTGTGGCAAAACACGGCAGTCAGTTCTTGCACCTGTTTGCGTGGGCGCATGCACACCTTCTCTTCACTCTCCTGGTCGCTCTCCTGGCTACGCCATGTTTTTTATATACCTTTGTCCATAACTATACATGCATACATACATACACGTTCACGTACATGTACATGATTCTAAACTCACATGTCATCCAAACTGGATGGAACCAGCCTGCACAACATCCGTTTTCGGTTAGGACAAATGCACGAAACATGCAAAGCCGGTACGGTCCTGATCTATGTTGCTGGCCTAAACCTGGAGAACACCCTAAAGAACACTCAAACTATCCCCAACGGCCCAAAGATCTCCAAAATCTGAGACGAAGCACTCGGCAGAGAGCAAGGCAGCACCTTCCTCCTTGCTGAAAGTCGTCGGGTTTACACCTGAGTAGTCCGGTGCACTTAGCGCACGGTTTACCGTGTCGACGGAGACTCGGAAGCCGAAATCAGAAATCCGAAAACCCGGTGCACGGCTGCCTCCTCTAGCCCTGAAGCATGACGTTCAATGTATCAAACTGTAAAACTGGTGAATGTCGAGCTGGACGGTTGAGCTGTTTGTCAATCTGCGTAGGTCTCTTTGCACAAGCAGGATTCGCCTTTTCGCACGTCGCACACCATGCATCGGAGACTCATGTGCTGAAGGCGCCTTCGAGCGCCGGATGTCCCCCCACCAACTGTTGTGATGAACACAACAACCGTGCAAACAACATTTTGACCCAAAATGTGAAACCCAAAGACAGGTGCGCTTTCCCAGTGCCGCTGCGTGGCTGTGCCATCAGGCACAGGTCGAGAAGTCTACAGCCGCTGCGACGATTTGGTTGGGTTTCCTTGGGGTCGCTCGCGGGGTTCATGTCGTTCTTGGCACTTGGTGTCGACATCCTTGTCTATGTCGCCCATCTTTGCGAACTTCAGAAACCTTCTCGCCGTTAGATTGTGCTCTACGGTGGAGATCTTGTCGTTTCGCGCCGTCGCGAGCTACTTGGTCATCTCTGCATTTAGACCGTGCTCTGCATTGGAGATCTTGCCGTTCGGCGCCGTCTTCATCTTCGTCTTTAGGTTGTGCTCTGAAGCGGCGATCTTTTGGTTTGGCACCGTCGAGTGCTACTTGCTCTGCTTCGTCTTTAGATTGTGCTCTGAAGCGCAGCTCTTGTGGTTTGGCTTCATCGTATGTTGCTGTCAGGTTCTGCGCAACTGCGTGCTCTACAAAGTCTTCTTCGCGAGCTTTGTCGACAATGACTTCCGCAGCAGCCTCGCTCTCTGTAATAAGACCATCCCGTTTGCCAACGTTGTCTATGACGACGGTGCTCGCATCAGCATCCTCCCAAAATACGCCGTCGAGGTTCACATGCCCGTCCTTGACAAGTGCATCTTCATGTTTCACCACTGAAATATCTGCAACAAGATCATCTGCAACAGCTAGGTATGCGGCCACACTCTCTACAACGACATGCTCCATGACAAAGCCTGCTACAGCTGTATCTTCTACGGTGACGTCTTGTGCGACTGCTTTCTGTACGACTATGTTGTGCACGGGAACCCGCTCTACGGCATCACTTTGGACGACGGCATCCTTCGCGGGAACATCCTCTACTAGGACATCCTGTACATCAACTTCGCTGACGACTACAGCACTGTTTTCTACGTCCACAACATCGACTAGCACATCCTCTACATCAACATTGCTGGCACCCACTTCTTCTACATCCACATCATCTAGACACCATTCCCTACCAGCTTTTCTTCCAGCAATATCCTGGACGGCCACATCGTCTACCACAGCTTCCTGTGCGACTTTGGCGTTTGAAGCCTCCCGTGCGGCGACCCCCTCTACAAGCACAGCCTCGATGACAGGTCGACTATAGCCAGACTATTTGTATCTTTTCTCTTGGCTGCCACACCCTCGATGGCGGCATACAAGACAACTCTCTACTAACGACCTCGCCACGACATCCTCTACGAGATCGTTCTCTGCGACGGCATGCTCTTCGCAAACATACTGCGCGAGACGGCTGTCCTGCGTGGTATCCGTACGTATCCGTCAAGGCGACATGCCTTACAATGGCTAAGTGACCACATGTTTCTTGGCAGCATCGGCTGCATCCATACGTGTGGCGGCCGTTTCTGCAACCACACACTGCAAGACAACGTCCTCTACAGCACATCCTCCGCAACTGCATCCTCGTCGACATCTTGCCTGGGAGCATGCTTTACGACCAAATTTTCGTATTCTACGTGGATGCCATCGACGGCCTCGCCAAGTCAGTGGAAGCTTCGCGGTGCTACGTCGGCTTTGCTATCACCGCCAACAGTCTCGCCAACTCGGTGGAAGCTTTGCAGTACTACATCGGCATCAAGGCAGTCACTGGCGATGACTTCATCGAGTCCATGCGGGCCGCTCCGGAGTGCGTCGGCTTCTACACGCATGCCCTTACCAACCCCGGCTGTCCATCTCTGAAAGTATGTGAAATCAAACCGGGCTCAGACCCTTGAAAACGGGGGAAGAAGTAGTGTCAAACCCAAAGATTCCCCAGAGCCGTTGCGTAGCTGTGCCATCAGGAATAAATCGAGACGTGAACAGTTGCTACGACGATTTGGTTGGGTTTGGGTAAAGGCACACGAGTATGCTAGGTTCTGTGGAGTGAAAAGATGCCGATACCCTTCTTATACAATCTGCATCCAGTTGCAATAAAGTTTCACACAAAACCCTAGGAGGCCTGTAGAGTCAGCTCTGCCTGGCTGGTGATACCCCGAAGGCCTCAACCCAAAATCTTAATTAAAGACTCAGCTCTTCTGGCCGGTTTATAACACAAGGCGAGATATAACCCTAAACCCTAACGTCCTTCAAGTCGTAAAGGGCTTTGAACCAGGATGCTTGAAGTGAATGTGCCCTTGACCCTAAAGAACGTAAAACCGCAACCCGCGAATCAATAACCTACCCCTTTACACCCTGAAACCCTTAAACCCTGAAGCCTTAAACCCTTAAGTCCCGAACCCACAGCCCCCAGCCCTACGTAGCGGGCAGTGCTCGAATCGGGGTCGGGGTCGCGGCCCAAAGTCGGCATGAAAGGTTGAGCGAACTCCCAAGCTTTGAATGGATGACTAGCTGGGCAGGTACGTAGCACAATCGAATACCCCAACAAGCATCCTGATGTTGAACTTCGGCAGGGCCAAGAGACCATATTTTTCACAGACTTGCACATAGAGCTCTTTCTCGCTGTCCTCACGAGGCCCAAGTCTTTGAGACCGCAACATGTCACAGGTGAAAAAACACTGAGGGCTAGTCGGCTAGTCCTCCCGAAGGGTTCTTGCAATCAACAGCTCAAGAGCTCCCGACGGTGTGAAGGGGCACGGTCTACGGGCGGGAAGCCTACGATTAAAAACCCATGAATGGACATTTATCCATAATGTGGGCTTCTTGAAAAAACTATCGCCAGGTTTCTTTGCGAACCTTGCAGTTTCAGGATACATTCACCACTAGAACCCTCACTCGAAAGTCAAGCCTGAAGTTGGAACCCGATTTGGAGCACAAACGGACCGCCCCTCAGTTGCTGTCCGTGGTTTGGTATGTGTCGGCGGTATTCTGGCAGCCTGGCGCCGATATCGAGTCTCGAGTTTCCGGTGGGGTTCAGCTCTACGCTGCGGCTCGAGGCAAGCATGTCCTTGAACTTCTGGAGAAGCCGGGCCAAATCTTGGAGCTTCTCCGGGTTATGCTTGACATAGATGCCTGGCCAGGTCAACGGCAACTGTCAACGTCAGGCCCTTGATAAACAGCTGTCATGTGATGGCCACGTCTTGGCCCGCTGGATCTTGGGAGGTGGGATGGACAATCCATGTCAAACCGCTTTCAAGTACGGCCGTGCTCAACATCGTGTCTCATTCTGTCCAGGTTTACATGACACGGGTTTCATCACCAGCGCCTATGCCGTACGCATATATGCAGGGAAAAAGAAAAACTCGATCGCGCTCGTTTAGCAGATGTGTGACTGAACCATAGGTAGCGGCATGGTAACTCCATTTCTCACTTCCCACCTGGCTAGGACAATGCCTTCAATCCAAGGCACGGGTTTGTCTTACCAAGGCGGGAGGCAGGGTAGCAGGGCTTTGGCAGGGGTGCCAAGCTTGCCCGGGATCGGCCAGAGTAGAAAGGCTTCAAACGACAGTCGGACAAACAAGAGTGAGAAGCGATGGCCTCAATGATCATCGTAACTAACAAGAGAAGGGACAACCATGGAACCTCCAAAGGAGTGATCTTGGACCGAAGCTTGATTGCGGCATGCCTGAGTCGTCCGTACGCTCATAGTACGCTCACATCTGACTCCGGCATCGATCCGAACAGTGCGGGTCTCCCTCTGCACTTGTCTGTTGAGTGTAGCGTCTGTAAAAGGATGTGCTGAGTTGCATGCTCACCGACATCGGAATTGCATAGCTGAAACCCACATGCACTGCCATTTGGGGGTCGCAGCAAGCCGACACTTGCATGTCTCTGCGGGAGCAGCGGGCTATCCTCAGAGCAAGCTCAGAAGCACAGCAAGACGGTTTCGAGGTCAAGATGCTTCAAACACCGAGCCGGCAATGTAGACAAGAAGCAGTAGAGACATGTCCGTTGAAGATGTTGCACGAAACTAATTCTAGAAGACAACTTGCTGCATTGAACCAAAGCCGCTACCAAAAAAATGCGAAACCGGTCTCAGTTCGCACATGAGCTGTCTCGATGCGCCCCAATGCATCGTCAGCCAACCAGCACGGACATGAGAAATGGGCTCAAGCCCAACATGCACGGGCACCGGAACCGACACCCAAAGAAGACCACTGAGTAATCCGAAGTAAACTCCAACACCCCAGTACCGCAACCCATTACCTTCAACTCCGTTGCGCCTTTCATGAAGCCGAGACCGCCTTACTTTACCACTCCAAACCCTGAACCCGAAAAGTGAGGCACTCCAGCCTTGCACGAGCACGGCATACTGTCGAGCTGTCAAGTCTGGCACCTCGACGGTTAGTGGGCACCCGGGCCAACAGGACAAAAAGCTTTCAAGCTTATTGTATAAAAACTAGAAAGATCGGGCGGAGCTATGGACGCAGCCCTAGAAAAGCGTGCTTGAGATCTCGATTCAAACCACAACGCAGAACCTTGAGAAAGGGCTTGTGGCATGCCACCCTGCGCGATACCTTACGGAGACCGACCGACCCGAGCACGTGCCACGTACACCGGCAGTTACCGTCCTTGCCGCGTGTCTTGGCAGCCGGACAGAAAAACCTCCGCTACACCTCCAAGCCGAACAACAGCAACAGACCAAACCCTGGCGCAGCCCGCTTCTCGGCACCATGCAAAAGGCGACAGACCCACAAACGAAAACAATGAGCCGTGCTGCAATTCGCTGAAACAAAGGCTTTGCTCCCTCTACTGTGTGAGGCTTTGGAAGTCGACGAGCGTGGAAAGAATTCAAGTAAAAGCCAAAGACTACAGCTTCTGCTTTCCAAATCGGCCTCTTCAAGAGGCTTTCGGGAAAAGTGACAGTGTTGATATGTAATTCAAGTTTTTCACACCCGCCCAGCTGTCCAAGTCACAATATTAAGGCTTGGGATGTGGAATGAATGGTGTGGAACAGCGACCTAATGGGTATTGTTTCAACCCTCACGCGCAAGCTGCAAAGCCATTGCATTGCGACCTGCCATTACCCACCCAGCACCTCTTCGTGCACGGGCTCCGTGTTTGCACCTGGGCTCCAAAACGGTAAACAACAGGCGTTGAAGCATTGACATGGTGCCGAGGTTTTCGGAGTCGACGAGTAGCTGTTGGGCTTCGCTTTATGACTTGGGCAGCCTCGGTGCAAGGCTCCGTGAAAGAACGCCTCTTCGCGACGCCAGTCGGCAAAACCGAAGGGTCTCTCGGAACCCGGGCTCACGCCTTCGACTTCGAAGGACTGCAGGGGTGCTATTTCTTCTTGTTTTCAGACTTGAAGCATTGCGTCCCGAAAGTGAACCACAGAAGTCAGCGCGCTTCAGTCCCCTAATTCCTTCATACGTCAGCGCCCTTTTTGGCCCAATCTATCGGAAACCCAGAATTCAAATCACAAACTCCTGCAAACCTTTGAGCCCAACGGCCGAGCGAGGCAAGCAATGCCACCGGGTCGGCTTCGTACCTTTGCGTCCGCAGATTGGCTCTGTTAGTTATGCTTTCGCGACATTGCGACATCGAGGCTACGTGCACGTCGGCGAGGAGGTGTAAAGTGGAGTGGTTTTTGGTGAGGATACTAATCGAAAGAAGAGCATGCGCACAGGAAGAAGTCGATAGACTCCGATAGACATCTGAGCATTGCAGGGGATGCTGTCTGTATGTTATGGTCCCTGTAGGTCCAGATGTTGCGACCGTGAACAGATAAGGAG